CCCCCCCCCCCCGGTTACTTTAGAATTCTAGTTACTTGAGTTCTGATTAACTGAGAGTGTGCTATATTTGTTGGTTTTGCTGCAAAAGACTAGTATGGCTACTATTTTAGTAAATGAAGTGAATGATCTATCTTTCCAATTAAGTAAATGGATGAAATTAAATTACCTGGTGAATGGGTTTTACTGTAGAATCAACAAATTGTGGCTGGGCTAAGTATTCACATTACAGCTTCTAGTTGCCCTCTATGAAGTCTAGTCCCTCCATGTAAATGCAATAATTTTATATGCATTTATCAACAAAACTGATGAAGTAATGTAGCCCACTAATAACATAGTGATAAACTGAAAACTGGCTAGGCTACCTGTCTCAGATGGGCCATTTAAATGTATTAACCCTGAGGGAGCAGGTATATAAATTCATATTTGGTCCCATTTATAATGACCATTTAATACAGTTCAAAGCTAGTTTCAAACTCGCACAAAAGCATGTGAAAGAAAGCTCTCTGTACTCTGTGGTTTGTGTACTCCCCATCCTGGCTTCAAACTGGTTCTAGTATTTCCTATATAATCATTTGCACAGAAAATCACTTTCTTCAATACTGGTTTGAAACATTAAAAGGTCGGTGTAGATGTGGCTTATATTACTAAAGACCCAAGCAGAGCTTGTGGCTCTGAGTGCCTGGGGACATCTTCTCCTGGTATATGAGTTGCAACATTTCCAGTACAAGCAATAACTTAGCCATAGTTGTCCATGCCCTGGTAACTTCCTGATTCGACAATTACAATGTACTCTATATAGGGCTGCCCTTTAAGATGACTTGGAAATTGCAGTTGGTACAAAATGCAGAAGTTAAACCAAATAATACCATTGCTCCTACAAAAAACCCCATAAAATAATGGTTTTAAAAGAATTGCACTATCTGCCAATAGACCTTTGGTCTGAATTCCAAGTTCTGACAATACACTCTGAGAAAGTGAGCAAGAGGACAGTCTCTGTTGTAGCATCCCAGTTATGGATTGTGCTGTGCTTGGAGGGACTGTTGAAACCATCACTGTGGTCATTTCTCTATATACTGCCCTAACAAATTATGAAATTACATGAAAATCCATAGTAGCAAAACCATCCACACTAGATCAGGACACATTTGAAGCTATCTGGAGAAGAATCTTTGGCTCATATAGTTTGATCTTTTAGGAGTTAATATACACAATCTAGTCTCTCTTTCATGCTTAATTCTCTTGCCCTGTTCCTGTTCATTATCAACCCATGTTTTATATAGATGATCGCAAAATCTTTTATTTATTTATTTATTTACTATATTTGTATACTGCTCTTCTCAGCCCTCGGGCAACTCAGAGCAGTTCACAATAGTAAAATTCAATGCTTAAAATATCATAAAACAGTTAAAACAATAGCATTATAAACAATCAATTACGATGTAGTTCAGGAGAAATTACAGTTTCCTCTAAAAGAAATGGGAGTGCCCCAGCATCTGATTATCCTGATACATAATCTTCTCCTCTGGACAAGATATTACTGTCAGGATGCAATATGGAGAAACCGAATGATTTCCCATTGGTAAGGAGCTCAGGCAAGGCTGTATCTTAGCACCCCATCTGTTTTAATTTATATGCAGAACATATCCTATAAGAAACATGATTAGACTAGAGGGGGAAAAGAACATTGACACTTCTAGGAACTATATACAGATGACAGCACATTACTTTCAGAAAACAGAGAAGATCTGGAACAATTATTAAGGAAAGCCATGAAAGAAAGGGCAAACAAGGTTCAGCTGAACTGTAGGAAAATAAAAAGAAAGGCCACAAATGATTTACACCATCCAAAGTGAGTTGTAAAGACAATGAAGTAGTAAAAGATTTCCTAAACCTTGGTTCAGTCATTAACCAAAATGGAAACATGGGAAATCAGAAAAAAGACTCAGGCGGGCTCTACACTTAATTAATGCAGTTTGACACCACCGCCATGGCTCAACGTTATGGAATCCTGGAGTTGTAGTTTGGTGAGGCACCAGCACTCTTTGGTGGAGAAGGCTGCATACCTTTTGAAACTACAATTCCCATTAATCCAGAGCATTGAGCCATGGCGGTGGTATCAAATTGGATTAAGTCTACAGTGTGGATGTACCTTTAGACTGAGAAAGACAGATATGAATAAACTAGATAACATCCTGAAGTGTAAAGATACATAATCAAACATTTGTTAGGATGGTCCATGCTGCCATATTCACCATTTTTATGTTGGGGTGTGAAAGCCAGACAGTAGGAAGAAATCAGCGCAGTGCTGCGAGTCCGATGGATACCATGGACTGCTAATAAGACAAATAAGTGGGTCTTCAACCAAATCAGGTCTTTACAGGAAGTAAAGATTCCTCACTTGTCCAAATGAAAAGCAATAGGAAAAAAGAGAGACTGCTACAAGTGAATTTATTCAATTAAAGAAACAAAGTCCCTGAGTCTGTAAGATCTGGGCTCTGGAAGGTGTCTCATCAATAATAACACTATGTAACAAAGTTTAAAAAATGTTTTGTTCCTGGTTTGAAAGTGTTATTTCCTGTTTAACTGTGCGGTACTTACTTTGAAAATAGTTGTTATACTCCACAAACTTTGTTTTTGTGGCAACCAGGTTGCTAACTGGGGCTGGTTACAGGGAGTGGACAACCCCCCTGTTGCAGCAGCTCCACTGGCTGCCAGTCTGTTTCCAAGCACAATTCAAAGTGCTAGTTATGACCTTTAAAGCCCTAGATGGTCCAGGTCCAGGCTATTTAGTTGATTGCACCCCCTTGTTCAAACTTGCTGGGCCCTGAGATCCTCAGGAGAGGCCTTTCTCTTGGTCCCACCTCCATCTCAAGCACGATTGGTGGGCACGAGAGGACGGGCCTTCTCAGTGGCTGCCCCTCGATTCTGGAACTCTCAGAACGGCCCCCTCCCTGCTCTCCTTTCAGTGGCAGGCTAAAACCTTTTTATTTAGACGGGCTTTTAAAGGTGACAGTTCTTAAGATCAATTCTGGGGGTGCTGTGGTTTTAGCTCTGAATTTATTTTAATGGTTTTTAACTGAGAAGTCTTAAATACTCTCTACATTTAATCCTATCTCGATGTTTGTAAATTTGTATATTTTAAATTGTTATGATAACACTTTTATGTTAAGCCACATTGGGTCCCCTTCGGGGGGAAATAAAACAGGGTATAAATAACAATACAAGTTCTTGGTGGGATGGGCATACCAAGCCACCTTGTCTCTCTCCTGAGGAATCTGTACAAGGACCAAGTAGCAACAGTCAGAACTGACCACGGAACAACAGACTGGTTCAAGATTGGGAAAGGCGTACGGCAAGGCTGCATACTCTCACCCAACCTATTCAACTTGTATGCAGAACACATCATGCGATGTGCGGGGCTCGATGAATGCAAAGCTGGGGTGAAAATTGCTGGAAGAAACATTAACAACCTCAGATATGTAGATGACACCAGTCTGATGGGCAAAAGCGAGGAGGAGCGGAGGAGCCTTCTAATCAAGGTGAAAGAAGAAAGCGCAAAAGCTGGGTTGCAGCTAAACATTAAAAAACCCAAGATTATGGCAACAAGAATGATTGACAACTGGAAAATAGAGGGAGAAAATGTGGAGGCCGTGACAGACTTTGTATTTCTAGGTGCAAAGATTACTGCAGATGCAGACTGTAGCCAGGAAATCAGAAGACGCTTACTTATTGGGAGGAGAGCAATGTCCAGTCTCGATAAAATAGTAAAGAGTAGAGACATCAGACTGGCAACAAAGATCCGCCTAGTCAAAGCCATGGTATTCCCTGTAGTAACCTACGGATGTGAGAGCTGGACCTTAGGGAAGGCTGAGCGAAGGAAGATAGATGCTTTTGAGCTGTGGTGCTGGAGGAAAGTTCTGAGAGTGCCTTGGACTGCGAGAAGATCCAACCAGTCCATCCTCCAGGAAATAAAGCCCGACTGCTCATTGGAGGGAAGGATACTAGAGACAAAGTTGAAGTACTTTGGCCACATCATGAGGAAACAGGAAAGCCTAGAGAAGACAATTATGCTGGGGAAAGTGGAAGGCAAAAGGAAGAGGGGCCGACCAAGGGCAAGATGGATGGATGGCATCCTTGAAGTGACTGGACTGACCTTGAAGGAGCTGGGGGTGGTGACGGCCGACAGGGAGTTCTGGCGTGGGACTGGTCCATGAGGTCACGAAGAGTCGGAGACAACTGAACGAATGAACAACAAAATAATAATAATAATAATAATAAAGTGTAAAGATACATAACTGACTGGGTCGGCCTGCTCCAAACCAAAACGAACTCCTCAAAGGAGTAGGCTGACACTTCATTGGTCTCTATCTCTTTAAGACTCAGGCAGAACTCTGTCAATGGAAGAAGCGGGAAGCAAACAACAAGGAGGAAGTGGAGGCAGCGCTCTCTTCAGCCAGGAAGCCTGGCAGAACCCTGGCCTGCTTCCCTGTAGTCTGTCATTGCTTTATTCTTACACTTTAAGTTACTTCAAAGTGATAAACAGTTGCCTAATAAACTTATTAACTCATGCTTTCTTTCTTCTTCTTCTTATGTTCTTACCTTGCCAGGGCTTGGCGTCTCTTCCGGTTTCTCTTCAGCTGCTGCTACAGACATGATGGCCCTGCTCCTCTCTGCTGGCCGCGCATGCGCACTACGTCCACTCAGCTCTTCCCGTAAAAAAGGGAAGCGACGCTTCACTCCCTTTTGGCCCAAAGAGGGCGCTCAAGAGACCACTCTATTTCCTTTTGCAGAAATTGGGGAAAGGTTGCTGAGAGTTTTTCGGGCTGTATGGCCATGTTACAGTAGCATTCTCTGGGGGCCCTTCCACACAGCCCTACATCCCAGAATATCAAGGCAGGAAATCTCACATTATCTGAGTGTGGACTAAAGCCCCCTCTACACATAATAATAATAAAATCCCACATTGTCTGCTTTGAACTAGGATATATGGCAATGTGGATTCAGATAACCCACTTCAAAGCAGATATTGCGGGATTGTGGCAGCCACCTCTCCACAAAGGTCAACATTGACACTGAAATACAACACTGCCTGAGCTCTGCGAGTGCAGCTTTTTTCCGAATGAAGTAGAGAGTGTTTGAGGACTGGGACATCCGTAGGGATACCAAGGTGCTTCTTTTTAAAGCTATCGTCCTCCGAACCCTGCTATTTGCCTGCGAGACATGGACTATCTATAGACGTCACTTGCAACTCCTGGAATGATTCCATCAGCACTGTCCCTGAAAAATCCTGCAAATCTCTTGGGAAAAGAAGCGGACAAATATCAGCATGCTGGAAGAAGCAAAGACCACCAGCATTGAAACGGTGGTCCTCCGCCATCAACTCTGCTGGACCGGCCGTGTTGTCCGGATGCCCGACGACCGTCTCCCAAAGCAGTTGCTCTACTCCGAACTTAAGAATGGAAAATGGAACGTTGGTGGGCAGGAAAAGAGATTTAAAGATGGGCTCAAAGCCAACCTTAAAAACTCTGGCATAGACACTGAGAACTGGGAAGCCCTGGCCCGTGAGCGCTCCAGTTGGAGGTCAGCTGTGACCAGCAGTGCTGTAGAATTCGAAGAGGCACAAATGGAGGGCGAAAAAGAGAGAAACGTGCCAAGAGTAAGGCGTGTCAAGCCAACCCCGACTGGGACCGCCTTCCACCTGGAAACCAATGCCCTCACTGTGGGAGAAGATGCAGATCAAGAATACAGCTCCACAGTCACCTACGGACTCACTCACTGACCTTGGAGGACCATCCTACTCAGACAACGAGGGATCGCCTAAATCAGTGGTTCTCAACCTGGGGTCCCCAGATATTTTTGGCCTACAATTCCCAGAAATCCTAACAGCTGGTAAGCTGGCTGGGATTTCTGGGAGTTGTAGGCCAAAAACATCTGGGGACCCCAGGTTGAGAACACTGGCCTAAATGGAAAAAAAATGAATGAAAATAATTTTACTAAAGAGGAGTTAAAACAGCAATGTGATTTGTTTAGGCAGTGAATTAAATCATACTAAGGCCCCTTCCAGGCAGACCCTATAATCCCAGGATCTGATCCCAGGTTTTCTGTTTATCCCAGATTATCATATAGTCCAGTTTAAAACAGGAAACCTGGGATCAGATCCTGGGATATAGGGTCTGTTTGGAAGGGCCCAAAGATATCCTATAGCATTTTTTGAGACTGAAGGAAAGATTTGTGTAGTCCACAAGAGCTTCTCTCACTAGGAATCTCTTTTTTATACGATGTATCTATACTGTGCAATTAATGCAGTTTAGTATTACTGATTTAATGCTATGGAACTGTATGAGCTGTAGTCTGCTGAGATACAGCACTCTTTGGCAGAGAAGAGTAAAGAGCTTGTAACACTACAACTCCCACGATTTGCAGGAATTGAGCCATAGCAGTCAACGCGGTGTCAACCTGCACTCATTTTCAACAAGGTGTAGGCCCGCATTTAGTACCTGCAAGGTTTCTTTCAATCGCTCCGATTGGTTTATATGGCTGTATCACTCTATACTTTTTGTTTCGTGCGTCTATGAAATACGGGCAGTCTCGCGAGATGTGAGCAACGAGACTTGTTCTGGCCCAGTTAGCAAAGCTGAATGAGGAAGGCAGCAAGCAGGTAGGAAGACCAAGTAACACCATTTGATGTATATTTAGGAATTAAAGGGATTTCATAGCAAGTTGTTTTGTTTTGTTTTCTTTTTAATGCTTTTGTATGATGTGTAGAATATCTTGAAAGCTCTTCTTTAGTTTACAAGGTGCCTCCAGTGATGGGCTGGGAAGACAGGCCAGGTATGCATAAATACCCCAGCAGCTTCTAATCTAAGGCCTCATCTATACTTCCATATGATCCAGTTTCAGAATGCATTGAACTGGATTATATGGCAGTATAGAGACGCATATAATCTGCTTCAATGAGGTTTAGGGCTCTTCCACACAGCCATATAACCCAGAATATCAAGGCAGATAATCCACAATATCTGCTTTAAACTGGAATATCAGAGTCCACACTGCCATATCATCCAGGATGTATTTTATTCAGCTGTGTGGAAGGGGCCTCAACCTGAATTTTAGGAGTCTACAGCCCTTTCTGCATTGACATATACATTCCAGATTTTCTGCTTTGAACTGGGTTATATGGCAGTGTAGACTCATATAATACAGTTCAAATCAGATAATGTGGATTATTTGCTTTGATAATCTGGATTGTGTGGCAGTGTAGAAGGGGCGTATACCGACCATTATAATGTAGTTGAAACTGGATTATGTGGCAGTGTAGACGAGGTCTATGTGGATATCTTCTTTAATCACCTCCCCACCCACATCCTCTCAGTTTACTTCATAATGCTTCCTTAAATCTTTATCCGATTTTGTCTCTCCATCATGCTTCATTTTCCCTTGGTCTCATTTAGAAGCACTTAAGAGTCATAATGGAAGATTATGATGATTAAGAGTTATAATGGAAGATTATCAGTAGGCTTCACAAATATTAACCCCCAGTGGCGCAGTGGGTTAAACCCCTGTGCCGGCAGGACTGAAGACCGACAGGTCACAGGTTCGAATCTCCCTCTATCAGCTCCAGCTCCTTATGTAGGGATATGAGAGAAGCCTCCCACAAGGATGATAAAAACATCAAAATCATCCGGGTGTCCCCTGGGCAAGTCCTTGCCGACGGCCATTTCTCTCACAACAGGATGCTCCTGACACGACAAAAAAACCCAAAAAACAAAATTTATTAAAGTTGTTTCAGAAGAAGGATGTTTATGGATGCATCTGAGGCCCCTTCCACACAGCTGTATAAGATCCACATTGAACTGTATTATATGGCAGTATGGACTCATATAATCCTGTTCAAAGCAGATATTGTGGTTTATCTGCCTTGATATTCTGGGTTATATGACTATGGGCCCTTCCACATAACCCTATATCCCAGAATATCAAGGCAGAAAATCCCACAATATCTGCTTTGAACTGGGTTATCTGAGTGTGAACTGAATGTGGGGGTTTCTGCCTTGATATTCTGGGATATAGGGCTGTGTGGAAGAATGTAGAGTGAATGCAGTTTGACATCAATTTTATTGCTGTGTCCCAATAGTATGGAATCATGGGAGTTGTAGTTTTACAAGGTCTGTAGCCCTCTCTACCAAAGAGGGCTGCTGCCTCATCAAACTGCAACTCCGATCATAACATTGAGCCATCGCAGTTAATGATGCCAAACTGCATTGTTTTTTCTTTTACATTTTACTTATTTATAACTCTTGTAGATGCACCCTGAAATACTTATAAATGTAGAAGAAGAAAGATATTTTATCTAGATAAAGTAAGAAAAATTGGTCTTCAGCTGAAGACATCACTGAAAAGATAACAAATTATAATTCCCACGATGCTAGCAATTATCACCAAAATTGAATTGAACATGGCCTTCTAGAACATGGTCATATAGCCCAAAAAACCTACAACAACCCAGAAATTGCAAAAATAAAATATATATTTTGCTGCGGTTTTTATTTTACTTGCACTTCAGAAAGATATTTTTATATTGTACCTGCCTTCCTACTGGTAGTGGCAGGCTTGATGATGCATAGTAAATAACTAATGTATATTATTTTTTCCCTATACCAGGAAATTATAGAAAACTAGAAGAGGGCCTCTTGGATGTAACCATCAATAAATACTCTCTTGCAGTATGTTATTGCATCTGTTAATTAAAAAACATAGACGGTTAGAAGTGCTGTTGACAAGCTTTTTAAACAAGGACAGATTTCTGTACAAGGCCTTTGCTACTTCTTCCCCTCTTTATAGAAAGAACAAAAAGATAAGTGAATATGAAAACATTGACCAAGAAAAGTATGGAGATTTGGTCCGTGATCTTGTCTCCTACCGAGACAGTTTCCAAAGACCTGAATATTTGTTTGAAGAAGACGAACTGCTTTATGGACCTGAGAGTAAATATAAGCCCCCAACTAAGGAGGCTGAACCACAGCTTATTGGGAACTGGACTCCTCTAATGAATCCTCATAAGTGTTCTTTACCCCCACAAACTGTCCTCGAACCGCCTTTGCAAATCAGTTTGGAAAAGAGGAATTTGGCCAGTGTGACAGCTGTGCTGCAGCAGACCATGCCTCTGGAGCAGGCTTTTCATCTGGAGAAGTGGAGACAGCGAATGATTTTTGAACTTGGAAAAGAGGGTTTTGCAGAATACACTAAAAGTAAGCAGCCATATGCACTTGTTGGTTTATTCCAGGGTGGGTTGATTTAAATCAGAAAAAAAAGAATTAATGTTTTGAATCAAGTTTTATGCTTTCAGATGTGTATTATTTGCTAAGCTAGCATGCATTCTAACTGCCTGTACTAACAATTACAACTTACTAGTTTGCTAATGGTAGGAATTTTTACAAAAAATATAAAGAATATGCATAATTAACCATTTGTGGCTTTGCAAACCCATTTGGCTGTTGAATTATTCTGGTTTATAGCACACATGAGCCAGATGAAAATGAGTTGTAGTCTGGATCTGAACTATGTGATGAGATTTTCCCATCCCAGGCTTTTATTCAACAAACATATATATAAAGGGATATTAAGCAAGGCTGTTTTTTTTTAGTATTAATTTGAGTAATATACAAAAAATGCAAGTACATAGCTAATAGGGTGTCAAAAATGATGATACGTTTCCTACAAAATAACACTATGTAACAAAATTTGAAACCAAAATTTAGTTGCTGGTTTGAAAGTGTTATTTCCTGTTTAATTGTTGCAGTGCTTACTTTGAATGTATTTGTTATACTCTAGAAACATTGTTTTTGTGGCTACCAAAAACTGTGCTGAAATGGTTGAAACTCTATGATAGGGGTCCACAAACATTTTAAACAGAGGGCCAGGTCACAGTCCCTCAAACTATTGGAGGGCCGGATTATAATTTGAAAAACACATGAATGAATTCCTATGCACGCTGCACATACCTTATTTGTAGTGCAAAAACACTTAAAAACAATACAATAATTAAAACAAAGAACAATTTTAACAAATATAAACTTATTAGTATTTCAGTGGGAAGTGTGGGCCTCCTTTTGGCTGATGAGTTGTTGTGTGCTTTCAAATAATTTCAGACTTAGGTTGACCCTGATCGAGGGCTGGGTAAATGACATTGGAGGGCCGTATCCGGCCCCCAGGCCTTAGTTTGAGGACTCCTGCTCTATGAGATACTAATTGAAAAACTATAGCAAAATGTGGATGTTCCACAAAAACAAAGTTTTTTGCAGTTTAATAAACCTTTTCCTTGTTTTTATGATAGAACCAATTAGGAAATGACACTTATAACCCAGGAACAAAAATAAATTTACATAGTGTAATATACAAAACAATCAAAAGTATGTTTCATTGATCCTTTTTAAAATATGTTCACTTTTAAAATATTTTATATCAAGCTAAAACACTCTCCCACTCTCCTTCCACCTCAAACTCATCTCAGTTTGTGGGAGAGTGTTTTAGCTTGATATAAAATATTTTACTAATGAACACACAGATTTTTAAAAGGATTCCATCATCAGAGAAAATAAAATACTACACAGAGGTTTTTTAATGCCTTGTTGCCATTAACGTAGTAAACATACATTATTGATCTGTGCGCATCATCAGTTATTGAATAATCTGATAATTGTATATCTTTAACAAATGTTCATGTGTAAATTGTTGTTAGCTATACAATATCAAAATGTCTTGAGTGACTGCTTTATGATTAGCTTGTCTTGTTTTGTAGATATCTTTCAAAAAGGAAAGTGCTTTCATGCAGCCATGGAAAGTTTATTGTTGGGTGATGATATTTCTGTGAAGGTGCAGGAAGAAGATATTGATGGTTCTGGCTTTGTAAAGAGTGTAAAGCATGTGCTACAGGAAGTCACTGGAGTGAGAGCCCTTGAAAGTGCAGTACAGCATGAGACACTTGGTTATCAAGGCCTAGTGGACTGTGTGGCAGAATATCGGTAAGAGTAAAACCCATCACATTAATAGAATTGTCCAGTTTAATATCTGAATTAAATGGGAGCTGAGTGTACACATGTTCAGCTTTTCCAGTAAAATGAATGATCTCATGTTTTCCCATGTTAAATGTTTTTCATTTCAACTACTTCATGCTTCAAAATTTGTAAGGTAGACACATTCTTTATAGCATACTCAAAATTAAGGCAGCATAGACCTAGAAATTGTGTTTCCTTCTCAGTTTTCCCTAAACCTTGGATTTAAATCTCTATTCCTTCCATTTATCAGTGAGAATTGGAAGTCAACAGTCTTCCTCACACCTGCTTCCAGACACTTTCCGGGGGTGTCAGAGGCAATATTGGCATGTTTTGGGGGCCCTGAACTTAAATTCTTCAAAAAACAAAAGTGACCAAAATTGTACCTGTCTCCTCAAACATACTAATAGATAGATAGATAGATGATAGATAGATAGATAGATAGATTGAATGAATGAATGAATGAATGAATGAATGAATGAATTTTGTTGAGGATTGAAACCTTCAAGGTTCTCAAGACCCATATAGTCCACACCCCAACAGTTGTCCTCCTTTGTCTTAGTGTGCTTCATTTTGGTAAAGTTGATCCCACTCCTCCCCATCTTTTGCTGTCTTTACATACAAGCAAAGCATAAAATAATACACAAAAACATAAAAGATAATATGCAGACTTCCAGTTTGCTTATAGTTTGGTGAGGTTTGTTTTGTATTAATAATAAAAGGCTGAGGAAATGATACCTATGGCTGGAATACCACCACCCGATATCATGTTTTTGCCTTCCCTGAATGTTTGTGATCTTTGCATATTGATGTAAGCCCAGGAAAGGCCTGCTGTAGCCCTATTTAAAAACAAGTAAACAATATTCTGATTTCTTTATTGTTTCAATAAAACTCATCTCCTTAGATTATTAAAATGGCTCAAAGAGTTCACAAATACATAGCAAATGTGATCTGTATCTTATCAGAGTGACAAAAGGCATTTAGGATTAAATAATGATAATTTTTAAAAATGATGTAGCTTGTGCAATGGCAGGAGTACCTGTTTCTGAGCCCTGGTGAGGATCATGTGCTGCACCCAGATCTTGAATATTTGCTCACTACTGTTGCATGGCACTGCATTATTATTATTTATTATTATTTGCCATATTTATATCCCATCTTTCTCAATCCTGAAAGGGACTCAGAGCAGTGTGCAAAGGCACAATTCAATGCCATACATTGCATACAATATATATCAAGCAAATAAAAAAATACATTAAAACACCTGCTAAAACATATCAACATTAAAATTATTAAAACCACATAATCCAATATTGTAGTCCAGACTGTTCCAGTTATCATTGCACCATTCCATGCTCACATATTGCACTAATCACTTATCCAATTGCTTGGTCCCACATCCAAGTTTTCGTTTTTTTTTCCGTAAAAGGCCAGGAGGGAGAGGGCTAATCTAATGTCACTAGGGAGGGGCCACCGTTGAGAAGGCCCTGTCTCTCATCTCCACCAACTGCACCTGTGAAGAAGGTGGGACCGAAAACAGGGCCTCCCCATAAGATCTTAATATTTGTACTTCTGTAGTTTCTGCTTTTGCAGGAATTAAAAGTTATGCCACACCAGAGAGGAAGCAAGTGCATAGATACATTTCATTTAGTGATCCATAAACATGCCTGCCATGGAATCAGGGGCCAACCTTCCTATGGTCCTTGGAAGGGCTACCTTTTATCTTGTGCAAAGAGGAAGTGTGGCTTTCCAAGAATTCTGAAGAAATTATACAGAAGGGAAAACCTTTAGCCATTTGTCTTGTGGTGTCAGATAAGACATTGCTCTGTTATTGACGAGGTGTGGTGATTTTGGTCAGCCGTGAATAACTGAATTATCTCTAAATGCTTGTTCACACAGTGGAACATTGTGTGTAATTGACTGGAAGACTTCAGAGAAATCGAAGCCATTTCTCCGCAATACATTTGACAGTCCTCTACAGATTGCAGCATACATAGGAGCCATTAATCATGATAACAACTACAACTTCCAGGTCAGTGTGACCACTTGCTGCTGAGATGACTCTCGGTTCAAATGCAGTTTTGTACTTTTAACATCTTGTTTTCCACTTAATCCAACTTGATCTGCAACCGTTTGGTCCTGTGATATTTCAAATGAATCTGGTTCAGTAGCCTTACTGCCCCAGCAGCCAGCTTATGCCAGTCTAACATTGGTTGAATCAGAAACTGCATTCCTAGTGGCACCAAAAATATAGCAACTCCAAAAATGATTTTCCTGGTATCCATGACAGGACTACACACAACAGCTAGGAATGACATAGCAAATATGAAACCAATGGAGATGTCAAGTTAGTAGTCAGTTTACCTATAGCAATAAGGAAGTACTACTTTGACATTAAATTAACTCTTTACACATTCAAGGTGCACACTGTGTAAAAACCTGACTTTTTAAATTGTCAATTTAATTACATAATTTAATTTAATTTAAATTTGTCAATTTTTGCTCCACTCCTTCCCAGGACTGGGATTGAAAGTAGCTTTTGGTACTCAAAGTGGCTTATATATCTTGCCAACAAAAATCATGCCTTAAGTAAAGGTGGGGAGGATCTAATATGATTAGAATTTATGCTTCTAATCCTGAACTGGAGTAGTTTTGTTAATCACACATATCCACAGGAGAATAATCTGAATTATTGTGATATGGCCTAAGGGCTGATCAATAAAAATTACTACTTACTACTAATCTGAATTAAGAGGAATTAAGAGGAAAAGGTGCATGGGTTTCATTTATAACTTTGTCTATCAGACATCTCCCTCTGCAGACCTGTTTTGGGATTTATCACATAATCAACCTGCTATTTTACCGTGTGGCTGTTCATTTCTGTGGTTTGATTCTGGTTATTTTATGAGCCATGGCTTTGGAGGATTGTGAACGAGCCAGAATTGGTGTATTTCCTCATCCCTTTCTGTACAGGCTTTTTCTATGGTTAATATTTGCTCTCTGAATCGGAAATGGTGATTTGAAGCGGCTTCAAAAATGTTTGCAATAGTATCAGGACTTAAAGGGGAAAAAAATGAATGTGGAGGATTTGAAAAGTTTATAGCAGTTCAAAAGATGGTGTTGATAGACCTCACCAATATAATGTGTTATGTAACAACGACAACAACAACAACTTTATTTGTAACCTGCCCTATCTCCCTGGAGCAGTGGTTCTCAACCTGTGGGTCCCCAGATGTTTTGGCCTTCAACTCCCAGAAATCCTAACAACTGGTAAACTGGCTGGGATTTCTGGGAGTTGTAGGCCAAAACACCCAGGGATCCACAGGTTAAGAACCACTGTGGCCTGGAGGAACTCAGGGCAGTTAGGTGTGTAGTTGCACTTTTTCATTACTCATGGAAGGTGGGTAGCAGCTCCAAAGCATTTGTATTCTGAATGCCTGATTTTGGAAAGTTGGTTATTGTCAGAGCATTGTGGAAAATATGATTTAGACATGAGCTTCTTAAGCTTTTTTTGAATCATGACCTTTTTTATCCAGTAAATGTTTATGTGGCCCTAGGTATATAAAGGATGGAGGAAGGGAGGAATGGGAGAAAGACATGCACAAGGGAGTGAGAGAAGGGAAAGCAGAGAGCGGCACACACGCGATAGAGGAGAGAAAGCAGACACACACACATGCAAGAATGAGAGAAGGAAAAGAAAGGAAGGTGAACTCAACATACAGTTGCACAAAAAAGAAAGGAAGGTGACCACAACATACAGTTAGAGTGACTCTATATTTTAAGAAGCTCTGATTTAGATGTTTGCAGGAATAGCGATTGCATAAGCCATCTCTCCCAGAGTATCATGTCTCAAAGACCCATGGGAAACTAGATATTTTGGAAACGTGAATAGTACGCATAGTTACCTACTCATATTACTGTCTTCCACACTACACATTACTCTTTTCTTCGACTCCATTGGTATCATTAAGTCATTGGCAGTTTCAACGTAACTGGCACAATAGTTTGACTGGTATCAAAGAGACCTCAAGCCACAGCAGAACCCCTGCTTATGGAAAGGTCAGTGTATTGATATTGTCATTAATAATTGTACTAAACTAAACATTCAGCAATCATGTCATGCTATAAAGGTAAAACTTAGGGAATCAGAAACAAAACCAAGGAATATCTGTGAATGTTTTAAGTTTAGTACAGTTCTTCCACATATATTCCACATTTGATGAGCACGTCACGTATAAAACGATAAAGGATATGGGCTAAAAATGTGCTTTGTTTTTCTTTCTAGGTTGATTGTGGACTCCTTGTCATTGCCTACAAAGATGGTTCTCCTGCACATCCTCACTACATGGACTCTGAACTATGCTCTCAGTACTGGAAGAAGTGGCTGCACCGTCTAGAAGAATATAAAGAGAAAAAGAAGGGCAGTAACACTGTTTAAAAAGTGCTCTTAAAAATAAAAATCCCAGTTTACAGATGGAGTACTTCTTGAACTTAGTCTGCCATTGGAGACTTGTACTTTCCTCATAAAGTTGCAGAGGGACATTTGCAGACATAGGGTATCGATACCTAGGAAAATTATTTATCACAAGATTCCTCGAATATGCTCCTTTTCTCATGTTGTGTGCCTTCAAGTTGTTTCTAACGTATGGTTCAGAGAGTATTTACCATTCCCCTTGTCTGAGAGAATGTGCCTTATCCAGAGTCACCCAGTGGGTTTCCATGGCTGAGTAGGGATTTGAACCTGTGTCTCTAGAGTTGTCCAGCATTTAAACCATTGTATATTGCTGCCTCTGCCCATTTTTTTGGAGCAGAAGTCAGCTGTGTTATGAAATTAGAAGCCCAGTGGTGTGAAAGTAGCATTAGGAGCCAGGGCTTGTAATAGAAAGTTTCCTTTGCTGCTCCTTCCCATGTACAAATGCCCTTTGTGGTGTTGTGTTGTCATTATCATGTTATCCCACAGGTTTGAGCATACATACTGGAAAGTAATATATGGTTCCACATTCAAAGATGAATTCTATTCTGTTGTGTTTCTTTAGTTGTAAAGTGAGAAACTTTTAGTAACCAAGGAAGCCAGAAGAGATAATACATATGAATAGTGCTCAAATGAGCCCTACTTCTAATTTTCATACTGATAGGAAAAAAGTGAAACAGTCACCTGCCTCCAATGCCTTCCCATGGATTCTTATAACTGTGTTTCATCCCAAATCTATCTGGAAGAAGTACTTCATAAAAAATTGTTTGGACCTAGTGATTGGGTGGTGAAGTGGGGAAGAGAGGAGAACTTAGAATAAATACTATGTATTTTAAGTTGGGATATATATAGTGAGGGTGACTAGTAAATGGAGAGCTACATTTTTTAAAAACAAATGTCTTTTAATTCGAAATCCCATCACCTATATTTATATTCAATAAATTTGTTTTGTTACATTACACCAGGTTTATTTATCAAAGGCATTTGTTAAAATCATACAAAATCAAATTTTGTTGTGTTCCATATTCTGCTCATCCCTTATTGTGGAAATTTCTTTCAAGTTCAGAAATTAGGTTGATTTTCTAATAGTTTCAAACAACAGGTTTAAGCACTAGTGGTGTTTAGTTGACTTGGATAACAGTTCTGAGAACCCCTGAAGTTCACAGCCACAGAATGGTGCTTAGCCGATCAATAAAGTGGATCCCATTTAGGGAGTCAGTAGAACTTAGCCCAGGATCCTGTGATCTAGAGTGGTACACATAAAACCACCCAATCCAGTAGTGATGCAGCCTCTGGTCATGTCTCCATCCCCAATATGTTTCAATAAACATGCCTTCTGCAGGCTGCGGGATTAATTTTACCAGGTCAGTCCCTGCTCCCAGACTGTTTTAGGCTCTAAAACCAGCTTTCTTATTTTTAAGAAAGCCTCCTACTAGACAAATATGTTAGCTCCTCCAGGCATGGTGAAATTCCCTCCCACAACCTTAGAGAGGTGTTTCATTTTTATAAAAACAGAGTAGAGATGGGAGCACAGGAGGCTGAATACAACCTATAGTAGAACCTTCCAAACTGTGTGTCACAACACTGTCCAGGAGTGGCGCACAAACATAATGAAAAACCTTTGAGTCTTTGTGACATAAGCAATAAACCATATTTTTAAACATGTAAATTAAATATTTTCATGAAATCTGTTGTGTCCCCATACATGTCATTGTTACAATGTATGTATGTGTCTGTATCACTTATAAGGAGTTGTTCTAATCTCTGATTTGCTAGTAAAACTGAATGACAGGCAGTCCCCAAGTTGCGAACAAGATAGGTTCTGTAGATTTGTTCATAAGTTGAATGTGTAAGTCAGAACAGGTACATTTTAAGTGTAACTCCAGCCGTGTGTGTGTGTGCACGCACACACATGGGATAAATTAGGGAAGGGTGGTGTTTGTTTTAATGTTAATTGTAATCTTGGGCCTGCCCCATGTAAGCCACCCTGAGTCCCCTAGGGGAGATGGTTGGCGAGGTATAAAAATCAAGTTATTGTTGTTGTTGTTGTTGTTGTTGTTGTTGTTGTTTTGCTGTCTGTGTCTGTTCAGAAGATTTCACCTCACTTTCTGTCCCTGTGATAATTGGATTTTAAAAAAAAATGACTTGTTATGGAAACAAGGATTGGTGAGGAAGCTTCAGTGGAGACACCTTTTCTCCATGATAACTCTTTCAGAAGTGAATTTCCCTTCTGAGGGATAGATTTCTCTCACTTCTTGTTATCTCACCCTTGTTTTTAACCATGAGTTGTTTGTAACTTGGGGGCTGAGCAGCCCCCGGTGGCACAGTGGGTTAAACCCTTGTGCCGGCAGGACTGAAGACCGACAGGTCACAGTTTGAATCGAGGGAGAGGTGGATGAGCTCCCTCTATCAGCTCCAGCTCCTCATGCGGGGCATGAGAGAAGCCTCCCACAAGGATGATAAAAACATCAAATCATCCAGGCGTCCCCTGGGCAACGTCCTTGCAGACGGTCAATTGTCTCACACCAGAAGCGACTTGCAGTTTCTCAGGTCGCTCCTGACATGACAAAAAATAAACAAACAAACTTGGGGACTGCCTTACTGTGTTGCAAAATGAGGCATGTCAAATAAGTGTGTCAGCAGCATGAAATGTTTGGAAAGCTCTGGCCTATAGGATGCCCTTTGCTTACCTCTGCCATTTGATTTGACAGAGAACTGGGTGGCAATAGAGTGGTTTGGAAGGGATGGTTGTAAATGTGTTCAGTCTTGGCAAACCAAGTATTTTCCCCTCCTTTTCCTGAAATGTTACTCTCTTCCCCACCCTAGAGCAGTGTTACTCAAAGTAATGCTCCATGGACCGGTGCCAGTCCACAAGTCATTGGTTGGCGGTCCTTGGAGATTATCTGAGAAAAAAAGAATTGGTCCCTGCCACATTGCAGGGAGGAAACTGCCAGTCCCCCACATCAAATAGTTTGAGATGCACTTCTCTAGAGGATTTTAAGAAGACTAGTTAGGCTGCGAGGCCTGCCAGCCTTCATCTGTACACATGTAAACCTCATTGCCTTTTGCCACTGTAGTCTATTACATCTTTACTACTCCCCCTCATTCTGAATTGGGCTTGTCTCCACTGATGAGGTCAGTTTGTTTTGCAAAACAGCTGTCATTTTCTTGGAAGTTTTCTTCAGTAAAGTACTTCCAGGATGTATATTACCGATGTGCATATACAAGTCTTCTTGGGTTGGACCTGTATAACCACAATCTTCGCAAACATACAGTTTATCTCTCCGTTGCTTATAAGAATATTGTTGTTGCACTGCATGGATCTTTTTAAGGTGCGATTCCAAAGAACAACGCTGGGTAAAGGCTTTGTTGCAGACCTCGCATTTGTATGGACGAATTCCTGCAAAAGAACAGAGACTTTATAAAAATCAGAGATGGACAACCTGCAGCTCTCAGCCAAATTTCAAACACCATCCAAATAATCAGTTCAAATCTTTGACTAGAGTGATCTGACCCACTCATATCTGGCAGCCAACTGAGCAAGAGGAAGGAATAGAACATACTCAGTATTTCTAGTGGTCTTTCCAACTGAAAAAAAGTTTTCCCAACCCTGCCATGTATAAATATGTGAGGGGAAGTCATAGGGAAGAGGGAGCAAGCTTGTTTTCTGCTGCCCTGGAGACTAGGACGTGGAACAATGGCTTCAAACTACAAGAAAGGAGATTCCACCTGAACATTAGGAATAACTTCCTAATGATGAGAGCTGTTCAGCAGTGGAACTCTCTGCCCCAGAGTGTTCCTTCTTTGGAAGCTTTTAAACAAACTGGATGGTCATCTGTCGGGGGTGCTTTGAATGTGAATTTCCTGTTTCTTGGCAGGGTTGGACCTGATGGCCCACAAGGTCTCTTCCAACTCTATGATTCTGTGATACTGCATTTTAATTATCATTTTCAAGGCTCTGTGTAGGCCGTAAGTTGAGGAAGCATAGGAAAATGCTGTATGTGATATTGGCCTCCACACTTAGTTTGCTATGGCCCTCAGCTTCTTTTTTAACAACTTTGCTCATCCTCTGAAGTTCAAAACATGTTTGAAAGCTATGGAGAAGCTGAATACAATTTATAGTAGTTAGGCCAAGCTTCAGTATCACTTATAGCTTCCCAATACCCCAAAGAGTATAAACTACAAAAAATTAGACAAACCAGTAAAAATTTTAAGATTGATTGTGCAAAATGAGAAAAAATGCAAATTTGGAAATATGTAAGTTTAAGAATTCAATGTTTTTTACATAGAATTTTTAGTACTTCATTGCTGCATTTTAATATAATAAAATCAGTAATGCAAATGACTTCCTAAATTGGCAATATTAAGGTAAAGGTAAAGTTTTCCCCTTGACATTAAGTGTAGTCGTGTTCGACTCTAGGGGGTGGTGCTCATCTCCATTTCTAAGCCAAAGAGCTGGCGTTGTTCATAGACGCCTTCTAGGTCATCTGGCCAGCATGACTGCATGGAGCGCTGTTACCTTCCCGCCAAAGCGATACCTATTTATCTACTCACATTTGCATGTTTTCGAACTGCTAGATGGGCAGAAGCAGGGGTGAACAGTGGGAGCTCACTCTGCTATGCGGATACAAACTGCCGACCTTCCAGTCAGCAAATTTTGCAGCTTAATGATTTAACCTGCTGGGCCACCACGGCCCCTAACTTAGCAATATTAGCATCTTGTTATTCTTTTTTTAAAGTCGAAGTGAGCTTACATGAGCTGCCTTTATAGAAAGGACTGCTTTATGGGGTTTTGTTGTTGTTGTTGTATCAGGAGCGACTTGAGAAACTGCAAGTTGCTTCTGGTGTGAGAGAATTGGCCGTCTGCAAGGACGTTGCCCAGGGGACGCCCGAATGAATTGATGTTTTTATCATCCTTGTGGGAGGCTTCTCTCATGTCCCCGCATGAGGAGCTGGAGCTGATAGAGGGAGCTCATCCGCCTCTCCCCAGATTCGAACCGGCGACCTATCGGTCTTCAGTCCTGCTGGCACAGGGGTTTAACCCACTGCACCACCGGGGGCTCCATGGGTTTATAAGCAGAAGCAAAATTATTATTATTATTATTATTATTTTATTTATTTATATTCCGCTTTATCTCCCTAAAGGGGACTCAAAGCCACTTGGAACTCAAAACTCTAAATTAAATACCAGAATGGCAACTTGAGATTTTGTGGGACCACAGAAATATGATTATTGTGTGCAAGATTCAGCTGCTTGTGTTTGGAGTTTGGAGTATCTATTGCTTATGGCTGGTACAATATATTTGTGATGTGTGTGGGAAATAGACTGAGTAAATCTGGTAGTATTCAGATGTTCTGTCTACTGTGCAGCTGCTTTCTCTGAGTATCAAAGCACCATGATGCAAAGTGTTAATTTTAAAAAATGAACTCTACACAAATGCCCCAAACTTACCTTGAAAAATAACATGTGCTTCTGAGAGCATTTTGAATATGTTAGTGCAATGACAAAGTAATTGAACAGTAAATAAAAGAAATGGGCCAGCATTTTCCTATCAACAGCGGGCATGCTTACAAGGGATAGAAATCTCATGACATTTTCTAGCAAATAATAATAATAATAATAATTATTATTATTATTATTATTATTATTATTATTATTATTTATACCCCGCCACCTCGGCGGGGTATAAATAATGGGGACTCGAAGTGGCTTACATGGGGCCAAGCCCGGACAACAAATTACAACAAAATAAAACCAAAGCATAAACAATAAACAACATCATCGAATGACATCAAGAAAAAAATTATAAACACAGTCATAAAATGACATTCCAATAAGCACAAGCACAATAACAATGAGTGGGCCACATGTACAGGATAAAAACAATTCAAAGACTCTAATGAGATAAAAATAGGAGCAAGTTATCTGCAGGGAACTCATAAAAACACACATAGTTGTGAAGCTAAACTTCCCATTTGGAGGGCATGTATTCCAGTGGGAAGAGCATTGAGAGGTGCACTGGTGTTATATTGTGCACCTACTCGCCAAAGTCGCAGCAGAAGAGCCGGGTTTTAAGGTTCTTTTTGAACGTTTCTAGTGTAGGGGCTTTCCTGATTTCTCCAGGTAATGAGTTCCAAAGTCGGGGAGCCACAGAGGAGAAGGCTCTGTCCCTTGGACCCCCAAGCTGCAGACCTGTGACTTCAGAGGGAGTGCATCCCCATCCAGCACAGGTTGCCACCCAATACCCCGATCAGACGGGCAATAACATTTGTTCTTACCTGTGTGTGTCCTTACGTGTCTTTTCAGATCAAAAGTGTCATTGAATCCTTTCCCACAGAAGGTGCACAAGTGTCTCTTCACTTGGCTATGACACTTTATGTGGCGGTTGAGCATGCGCTGCAGGCGAAATCCTTTGCCACATAATTCACAATTGTGCATCAAGGCATCACCACAAATGCCGGTGGTGAACTAGGAGTAGGAAGTAAAACACCATTTTAGAATTATAGAATTGAGATGGAAGTAGAGCCAAAGACATATCTGTCCTGCCCCAAAGATGAGGCCAAAAGCAACCTCCTACCATTCAACTGAATAAAGATTTAAAAAATACATGTACAAGAAATGGAGAAAGGGGGAGAAACTATAAAAGAGGAACTTAAACGAATAATACAAGGAGAAAATCAGAAAAACCAAAATACAGATCTATCTCAGGGTTGCTAGGGATATCATTATAATGAGTCCCAGGAGAACATGTTGATCTCCACCCAAGGTTCCTGTTGACCACTCTTTCCCTTTTGGTGAGAATCAGGTCAAAGACAATTCCTTGATCTCCAAATCCAGTCTGATCTTGAAGGTGAAGCAAGGTCAGCACAGATCGGAGATCAGCAACCAATACCCTGTGCTGTAGGCTACATTTCAGCAAAAGAAACTAACAAAACACATATATGATTATTCCATGTACACTTACAACTATATGTACCTTTATTTTGGATCTCACTGTAGGGCGATTCTCTGCCAAAGCCAAAAGTGTGTCTTCTGTTGTAGACTCAGCTGAGTTATTTGCAGTCTCTGTATCCCTGCTGCTTGTGCTCTCTAAGCTGCAGCTGTCTTCACTACGATAATTCAGGAGCACACACCTTATATCCCCTGGAGAAAGAATACACAACGTCGAAGTCAGAAACAGCAAACATTCAAACAAATGCTATTTTGATGATGGACCACAGTGGTCCTACTAAAAACTTTGAGCCACTAAGTCCAACTGGACCTCCAGTGGTGAAGCCAGGACTCCTGCTTTCTTAGGAGGGGGTACAATCCTATTCGGGGCAGTGCATTTTTTCTAATTTGTGGACTTGGGAACAACTAATCCACAGAGTTTGCATCTTCTCAGGATACAACTTCATTTTCTTGGCCCTCATCCAGCACATTATAGTAGCTAACCATTACCTCAGCATGTGTCCAGCCCCAGATGATCCCAAAAACCAGGAGAAGTAGAACGGATGACACCGTTATACTGAGAACACTTGACCTCAAAGCAGCTGATGATCTCACTCAGCAGCTTCATATGGATATTGAAGAACATTGGGAAAGAATGGAACACTCTACTTCTCAAGAAAGGAAAGCTTAGAGAAGACAATGCTTGGGAAAATGGAAGGAAAAAGGAAGAGGGGCTGACCAAGGGCAAGATGGATGGATGGGATCCTTGAAGTGACTGGATTGACCTTGAAGGAGCTGGGGGTCGTGACGACCGACAGGGAGCTCTGGTGTGGGCTGGTCCATGAGATCACAAAGAATCGGAAACGACTAAACGAATGAACAACAACTTCTTCTCAGGATAATCTAAAGAGTTTCTCTTGTATATGGCAAATTTGGGGTGGCTCAGGGAAAGGACTTTGGGGCCGTGCTTTGGATTTGGGATTTCCCTCCCCAGAAGGCCTTCTATCTTTCTTCTTTGTTAACCACTCAGTGCACACACAAAACCTTCCTATGGAGGAAGGCAGTGGTCTGCAGGAAGTGGCCAAATATCTTTTTAGAGCAGTGTTTCCCACCCTGTGGTCTGCAAGAACAAAAATATGGTCAGCGGCCTTACCATTATTACACCATTGCCTCGAAACCACGTGGCAACCAGAGCAACTGGTCTCACGAAACCCTCTTATAGTGCCAAGGCAATGGGATGTTGGAAGGACAGAGCTTGACAAAAATTTAGAATCATAGAGTTGGAAGAGGCCTTGTGGGCCATCCAGTCCTTCCCTGCAAAGAAGCAGGAAAACCGTGTTCAAAGCACCCCAACAGATGGCCACCCAGCCTCTGTTTAAAAGCCCCCAAAGAAGGATCCCCATCACACTCTGGGGCAGAGAGTTCCACTGCTGAACAGCTCTCACAGTCAGTATGTTCTTCCTAATGTTCAGGTGGAATCTTCCTTCTTGTAGTTTGAAGCCATTGTTCTGCGTCCTAGTCTCCAGAGCAGCAGAAAACAAGCTTGCTCCCTCTTCCCTTTGACTTCCCCTCACATAGTTATACATGGCTATCATGTCTCCTCTCAGCCTTCTCTTCTTCAGGCTAAACATGCCCAGCTCTTTAAGCCGCTCCTCATAGGGTTGTTCTTGATCATTTTAGTTGCCCTCCTCTAGACATATTCCAGCTTGTCATCATCTCCCTTCAATTATGGTGCCCAGAATTGGACACAGCATTCCAGGTGTGGTCAAACCAAGGCAGAATCAAGGGGTAGCATGACTTCCCTGGATCTAGACACTATACTCCTATTTATTTATACTACCACATCAGCCCGGTGGCGCAGTGGGTTAAACCCCTTTGCCAGCAAGACTGAAGACCGACAGGTCGCAGGTTCGAATCCGGGGAGAGGCGGATGAGCTCCCTCTATCAGCTCCAGCTCCTCATGTGGGGACATGAGAGAAGCCTCCCACAAGGATGATAAAAAACATCAAATCATCCAGGCGTCCCCTGGGCAATGTCTTTGCAGACGGCCAATTCTCTCACACCAGGAGTCACTCCTGATACGACAAAAAAAAAAAAAAAAGCTCTAGAATATTAAATATGGTTTTCTGTGGGTGAGCAGATTGTGACTACTGGATGGCAATATGTAACAGAACTAGAGCTGATGTAGTCTGTCCAATGCAATTTTCTCAATCAGCACCCCAAATAACCAAATCGAATCTAAAGTTGACCAAAAACTGATTTGTAACCCTTTTGGTACTAATGTTGGAGAGTGGTCCCTAGTCAAATGGTCCCTGGTCAAAAAAAGGTTGGAAACCACTGCTTTAGAGCAAAGCCAAGGCTCTTTAGGCAGCCTGGAACTTAAATTTCTAGAACATCTCAAATACAAAAACAGTGGGCATTAGAGTTCATGGTTTTTAAAAGACCTGAGTCTAAACCCTTGTCCTTCGATCAAATGAAGAACATTCAAAAGAACTTGTTTAAACAGAACATATTTCCTTTGTGAAGCATATTCAGAGCTTGTTCACTAAGCATACAAAGCAGGTAAGTCAGTAAGATGTTCCTCAGACATCTGCAAGATGTCTGAGGAAAACAGCTTGACTTACTCAGAAAAACTAACATATATGTGCATATACATATATAAGTCGGCTTTATATATATTGTGAATGTTGATATTCTGGTAATAGGTAAAGCATAAAACTTTGGAGTATAACATGGGGCTGCAGAGATCCATTCCATGGCAAGGAAAACACACTAGGACCAACTTAGGGGCCACCTACCACAACCATTGTCCCACCCAGATATTGCAAATTGGAAAGAGTAGGAAAAGTATCATCAATGCTTCTTTTAAATTCTCCAAGGGGGCAAAAAACAAAGCTTATTCTGGGTTGCTGTGAGTTTTCCAGGCTGTATAGCTATGTTCCAGAAGCATTCTCTCCTGACATTTCACCCACAACTATAGCAGACTCCTCAGAGGTTGTGAGGTCTGTTGGAAACAAGGCAAATGGAGTTTATATATGTGGAATGTCCAGGGTAAGAGAAAGAATTCTTGTCTGTTTGAGGCAGGTGTGAATGTTGCAATTGGCCACCTTGATGATTACTGAAGAGCCTTGCAGCTTCAAAGCCTGACTGGTTGCTGCCTGGGGGAATCCTTTGTTTGAAGGTATTAGCTGGCCCTGATTGATTCTTGTCTGGAACTCCCCCCATTTTTAGTGTTGCTCTTTATTTACTATCCCGATTTTAGAGTTTTTTAAATACTGGTAGCTAGATTTTGATCATTTTCATGGTTTCTGTTGAAATTGTCCACAAGCTTGAGGATTTTAATGGCTTTTCTGTGTAGTCTGACATGGTGGTTGTTAGAGTGGTCCAGCATTTCTGTGCTCTCAAATAATATGCTGTGCCCATATTATTATGGACTCTAACAACCACCATGTCAAACTACACAGAGAAGCCATTGAAAGCCTTCGACAACACAAAGCTTAGTCTGTCTATGGAGGATTCAAAATGGTAGGTTACATACCTGTGACCATCTTTCTTCGAGTGGTGCTCTGCGAATTCACACTTGTGGAGAG